AATAATTATTTTTATTTACTATTTATTAATAATTAGTATTAATTACTTTTATTTACTATTTATCAATAATTAATACTAATTAATATTTATTTATTATTAATGGTAATAAATAATAATTAATATTAATAAGAGTTATAATTGGAAAAAGTCACAATAGACTCCCAAAACGCTACTTTAAGTAGCGTTTCAATAAACCAATTTATGGTTATTCAAACGTGTACCCATAAAATAAGCTAGTTATATAAACTACCTTATTTACTTAAGACAATATATTCATGTTTTACGGATAACTTTCTAAAAAATGTTTTCTTAAAATAACAGTTGGATAATAATAATAATAATAATAATAATAATAATAATAATAATAATAATAATAATAGTTTGATACAAAATAAGGAATTGTTTGTAATATAAAATAAGGATGTGGAAAAAAGAAACCATATTTTGGCTTCTTTGTAAAATTCAACTTCAAAATGTTACAATTTGGTATCATCAAAGGCTGAGGTGTTACAAACACTCATCACATCACCACACATTTGGTCTCTTCTATATATTACTTTAATATTAAATATAAGTTGCAAAAATTATAGATTTTAAAGTATGTCTGTCCTTGTTGTTAAAACAATTTCATAGTTGCAAATATATCGACCCAAAAATCATGTATGTGAAGGTCATGAGGACACCGAGTTGTCTCCACAACTACAAACTACTACCACTTGTTTCCTACTTTCAAACAGGTCCGATCGTGCACTTTAAAAGTCTGATGTGACTACGTACTACAAAATAAATGTGTTGCACATAGATACTAATCTCGAAAATCCGAGGTAACACATAAATCATAGTGCTACTTGTTTTATTACGATTTTATTTGCAAACAAGTCTGCACAAATTTTCTACTTTTTCTACAAAAATGAAATTTAAACCTCATTTTTAGAGAATGTTTTGGACATGTTTTGTGGAGTCTGAAATAAAACTGAAACGGACATAATTCATAAAATTAGAAGCTTTTGTACAATTTGCAATAGGAGCCAAGTGTGCTCGTTTTTATCGTTGTAAAAAAGTTCTATCACATTTTTATTTGAAACACACACTCTCTCTCTCTAGGCACACAAACATGCATATATAATGTAATCACATTTATCTTGAGATAAAGAAAGTAATTAATAACTATTTACATAATATCTTTTTTAAGTATATAATATTTATATACGGCAAATACAACAAATAAACTCACACACCATCTTCATCATTGGTGAGGTTTGAACCTCTGACCTTCTAGGAGGTCAAAGACTACAGTACCGATAGGCCAAAGACCCTTTGATTATTTACATAATATCTTGTTCGTTCCATAATAAATATATTTAATGAAAAAAACATACATTTTTTAGAAATCTATAATTATTATACTTTTTAATCGACTACATGACAATTTTATTCTACATAATAGAGAAACTAATGAATTTTTCATCTCATAATTAACAATGTAATCAGAAAACGACACTCTTATAAAAATAAATCCATATTTTAGAACAAAAAAAATAATATTTAAAAACTATCACCCTGAACCAAAATCCTGGCTTCGCAATAAAAAAATTGTTGTCCTTGGCCATGATATAAACATTTAATACGTTGGAAGTATCATGTAAACCAATCAACATCTTTTGATATTATTTAGTTTCTATAAATGCCTTAATTTTTTTTTATTAACCTGGATAGCCCGGAGTACTTCATTTAAACCTCCATAGCCATAAGAGGATTTTTATTTCTCCTTAGATTTGAACTTAAGACCTCTAGGTACTTTTAACCTTTGGAGGCTAAGCTCAAACCAATCAGACACCACCACCCTTGTGATTATATATACCTTATTTTAATCATAAATAATAGAAAGACGAAAAAGATATTACCTGTAAGAATTTGGACATTTGTCTCCCGTGTGTGAGTTCAAATCATGCAACTTACTAGCAATTTTTGACACATAAGAATCATGCAACTTGTGTGAATGATAATGTGTGATTTGCATCATATAAATCGTATAACATGATTTAGAGCACAAAAAGGTACAACCATTAAGTTAACGAGTTTAATTAGTTATTTTCAATTGGAATAAAACAACATAATGAAAGAAAAACATAAATATATGATTGGTCAATATTTAATGAAATTTAAAGACTATATATAAAAATACTATTACATTGGATTTTAACATCCTCACTTGTTGACAACACCATCTCAAATCCAACCTCAAGTCTTCAACCAACTCAAAGTCAAACAAAGCAAAGAAATTTAGTAATCCCACTAACTAACATTTGACACTCAATGTTCATAAAGAAGAAAGAACAGGATCTATAATAACCTATGTTTTATTCTGGTAAGTAAATAAAGTTCAGAAGTGAAATTTGAAGTTTTGTTATAGTTGGAGGGCCAAAAGTGTAACTTGGAGACTAAACGAGTTGAGTCTCTAATTTCAGTTCATTTGAACGGTTTCTTCAAAGATGTGAGTGTGTGTATGCTCTTGCCTTGAACGAGAGAGTTTTGGGGTGGAGGAGAACCTTGCTTGAAGAATTGAAGAAGAGGAAAGGGTGGAATCTCCATTTTCAGGTAAGATCATCACCCTTCTTATATCATTTCCTTCCTTGTTGACCCTCTTCATTTGGGGGTTAGGGTTTCATCATGTATTGGGGATGAATTGTTATTTCATGGTTGGAAACCATTTTATGTTGAGTTTTGGTGTGGATGCATATATACTCTCAAAAGGCTATAATAACAAGTAAATCATGCAAATATACATGGCTTACAAGTATCGTCCAAAATAAGTAATAATGGTAAGTAATACCAAGTATCATCCAAAACAAGTAATAATGGTAAGTAATACCAAGTATCATCCAAAACAAATAATAACGGTAAGTAATACCAAGTATCGTTCCATAGAGATTTAATATGCAAAGAGAGTCATAAAAGTTAACTCTAAAGTAAGATTTCAGAAAAGGGTTTTTGGAAACAATAAAACTTCAGAGAGAAAATATCTTTGCGAGAGTTCGTAACCAAATATTGAAATGAAACAATAATTAAAAGATAGTATGGATGCAAAATTAGTTGGATTTCAACAACAAAGTGTAATGGATATTGCTCTACAAATAGCTCTTTACAACACTACTGGATTGAACGGCCTTCCAAGGAAGTGCATATTAGACCATATGTTGGAAGTGCACATAGTGATGCATCAATGAAAACTAGTACACATCTTGCCTTTCTTTCAATATAGTTTTGCAACCCATAAGATTACGGTGACTCTTTATAGCCTCTATAACACACTTAGTAAAATTATTTGC